GTGTGTGTATATATGTGTGCGTGATGGGTAGCCCTACGAGTAAAATCTTGGGATCGGTGCAATTAAGACCACTACTCCAAACACGGACAAATGCATGTGGTTCTTGGGATCAGAATGAAATTTAGTCTGTCACAGATCGTCGCAAATTACAGCCCATATGTCACTCTAGGTCACGAACAACAGTAAAGGAAAGTTTCATCAAAAACCGTTCAGCAGCCTTCGAGTAACAAACATGTTAACATCCAGACATCCATACAAACCTTCGCATTTATAACATTAGTAGAAATATGACTGTATTTGTTTCTTTTTTGCAGATTTCGTAGATTTCACAAACGGAAAATATTGTGCTGGAGTGTGCGCATATGTCTCCGTCACCGTCAAGAGCTTCGATATACACAGAGAGAACATCGGATACGCCACATCACTCGCCGTCAACAAGGGATTTGCCATTTACAAGTCCAGAAAGGTATCAGTCATAACCAAATCTACACTACAAAACATATTATAAATGCGAAAGTTTGAATGTCTGGATGGATGTTTGTTACTCTTTCACGCAAAAACTACTGAACGGATTTTGATGAAACTTTACAGTATTATTGTTTATAACCCAGAATAACATATAGGCTATAATTTATGAAGATCTGTGACAAACTAATTTTCACGCGGGTGAAGCCGCGGGCAAAAGCTAGTTCTTTATAACCCAGAATAACATGTTACGATCTGTGACAAGCTGAATTTCGCGCGGGTGAAGCCGCGGGCAAAAGTTAGTTTATAACAATTTCTTCTATTTCAGTGCGCAGTAACGAACGCCCTGCGGGAGACGCTGCTCAGCTTCGGCGGCAGCGTCGCGACTGAGCTGGCCGAGCTGCTCGAGTCCCACAAGGCGGTCACGCCCCCGCCCGCGCCTCACCCCGCCCCCGACGAGAACAACCAGAACGCGCCCAACAAGATGGCCGACGCCGCGCCCAAGAACTCGCCGCTCAACCGCGGCCCGCGAAAGGAAGACTGCCCCGCCAACAACCGCGCGCTCCAACCGCAGATCAAGAATGCGCCCGTCGCCACCGCGCACCCCATGCCCGCCCCCGCGCTCGCCCCGCGGCCCCCGCGCCCCCCCGTGCCCCCCGCCCCTCTGCGCCCCAACTCCAACGTAAGTTTCGTGCTCCAACCCGTCATGCCGCCGCTGTACCCGGCTCGCCTGCCGCCGCCCGCGCCCCCAGTCTACCCGAACTACTTCGAGTACGCCGGCCCGTGGCACTTCGCCTACGAGACCTACGACCGCCCCCACGGCAACGTCAACCTCAACTTCAACGCGCCGCCCAAGAACCTCGTCGTCAACGGGCGCGGCTCCGTCGAGTGCAAGAACGCCTGCCGCCAGGAGGGCGAGCCGGTGCAGTTCGCGCCGCAGCAGGGCGCCGGCTGCTGGATCAAGCCGACCATCTTCTACGACGGCTTCTGGACGGAGCAGAAGGTCAAGAAGTGGGTCGCCGAGCAGGTGGAGAAGCAGTTCCCGGAGGAGGCGTCGCACAAAGCGGCCTCGCCCGACGCGCCCAAGTCCTGAGGGCCGGACGGTCGGACGTTTAAACTGTTCTTTTCCCCGATTTGATTGATCGAATGCCGTCGGATGATAAAATCGTGATCAGATTTTTTTTGACAATCTCACACAGCGCCATCTAGCCCCAAAGTAAGCAATTAGAGCGCTTGTAGACGTCCGTTTTTTCACCGGACGACTGACCGTCAAAAAACGGATATCCGTTTGCTGTCAATTTTCTCGCCGGACCTATGTCCGATGCATGTGCACACGTTCATTATAAACCATACGCCACCGCTTAATCCGGTGAAAAAATCGGGCCGTTGTCCGGTCAAAAAAATGGACGTCTACAAGCGCTCTTAATATGCTTGTGTTATGGGTGCTAGCTTTTACTTTTCGCTCTCTAGGTTTGGCAATTTTGGTATCGCTCCGTTCGTGTCATTCCGATTTTGAAGCCGCATCAGTTTAGGCTTATGGTTTTCGCATTTGTCCCACTCGTTTTTTATTCATTTTTTTCTGTACCACCGAACCTTGAGAAAGGTGATGGGATAGTGTTAGGGGCATGATTTGCCAATTTGGTTCTATTTTGGTTCGTCTGCTCGCATACGATTGCGTAGCAGCTTAGTGTTACAATTTTAAGAGTGTGGACACCACCAGTCAATTTGGCTTGTGAATGATAATACACTGGTCTACATATAACTGCCGATGTCAGTATATTTTTTTTCAAGTCGATCGACTCAAAGATAATCGAATTTAAAGTTATACATGGTGTCCACAAACCTATTATTGTGATTTATTTTTAACCGACTTCGAAAACTTGTAGGCTCTTCGTTAGCGGAGCCGTCGCGCAGTGCTATCGCGTGCCCGGTCCTTGACGCGTAGGGTATTTGACTTTTAAGTTATAAGTAAAATAAAATAGAAGGTTGTAGGTATCAAAATTTGCTCAATGTTATCCCAAAACTTAAATAAATATAGAATACGAGTGATTATTCTTACAAGAAGTCAAATACCCTAAAAGCAGTTTATTTTAAAAAGAACTATAAACATTTACATAGGCGAGACACGCTTTTTGTTGGCGGTCTTTTCGAAATTTTACCAATTACTTCGGCAAATATTATAGCCGTATAGGAAAATTAATCCCAAAAAACACTTCGAAAACTAAAGCGTGGCTACACTGTAATAATAAGAGCAGATATAGCATGAATTTTGTCATATTTATAATACATTATGTACTCTTATCACTCACAATAGCATATAACAATTAATTATTCACATTTTTCATGATGGTCTCACTAAATCGCACGCGATAGTACTTATCACTGTGTCTATGATATATTTTAGAAACTAGGCGTAGTCTATGGATGATGGTTTGGTGAATGTATTTAGTATTAAACTTTTGGAGGTGTGAGTTAGAAATCTCAAAAATGGTACACTATTTTTTAAAGAATTTTTCGAGTGATTATACTATCGTGTAAGTGTTATGTCGAAGTTTCGAACGTAGGTTAGTGGCTTTGGTCTTAGGTGCAGTCCCTAGTTAGAGGGAGTGAGGGAGAGATGAATTTGGCATTGTGTGATGATTAAGAGACAGATCTTAAGGTGAACTTACACGGGAAAACATTCAAGATATCTCGGAACAATCTGAAGCAACTATGGGTGACACAATTTCTCTCAACTATAGTTTCATTGCCCGTGTAAGCGCACCCTTGGAATCTTTTGGGATCGTTAGGAAGGCATCCAACGCGTGTCGCCTCATTGCAACCGACTACAATCAATATTTTTCCTTTAACTTAATAAGGGTTAATATAAAAACTACATTACAAACTATCTTGCATCTATCTATTACAAATTTAATATATTAGCTACATAATCAAAGCACCGTTCTAAATAATAATATAAAGTTTTGAATGCACATTTCGTCTTTTTTACATGGGCGCTATAATTTTTTCAATCCTATAGGCGAAAAAATTGGCTTGCTCTACATCTACAAGATTCGATCAGAACGCCAAACTTTGTTTTCAATATATTGGACATACATAAAAGAAGTTTCACTCGACATGTTCAATCGAAATCACGATCATAAGCCATGTAGGAGTGAGTCTACTATTGACACAGCTTGTCGTTATAGAAAAGCATACGTAGCTCCTAGGTCCGAGTAGGTTCAACAATGTTGGTATGCAATAATAACGATTGATTAAGCACGTATTGTGTGGATGAATACAAAAGATGTTTATACACTAGAAGTATGTAATAAGGGAACCTTTACATTTGTTATATTATTTTTCTCTTAGTAATATAGTTTACTAAAGTATATTAGGTTTAATATTTTCTTATAACTAGGAATTGGATAAAGTGATTTTGTCAGTCTAAAAACATGGAATTGCTATGTACATAATATTTATGTAGATTTAAACTAAGACTTTGTGTGACTTTGCAGTACCTACGTTTTTATTACAATAAACTTGTTTGAAATAATAGTATTATTTGTTTGATTGTTACTTTTTGTTAATCCCATTTTTTTTCTTTAATCATCCTACAAGCATAAGTTCTTTGGCAATTCTCATAAATTGCAGAGAGCAATATTTTTTTCAACACACAATATCTTTTAAATTCAACATTAAATAAGCACTTCTTTTGTTTCATCCACATAACCTTTTTTATTTCTTACAATTAGCTAACACAAGAACTTATTATAACTTTAACTTTACATTATTTAGCTAGAGACACGAACACTCCTAGTTTTATCCAAACTGTCTATTTCACCGAGACGCCATGGGCACCCAACTTAATGTATGTAGCAGTAATGTGTTGTGGCGCCGCCTGGTGTCTCGGTAAAATAAAAGCCGTAAGGCCTCAGCCTCGAGTTTAGCGGGCAGCGGGGCGGGAGCGGCGGCGGCGCGGGAGCGGGGCGGGCAACGCAGACCCGTTCTCGAAACAAGCGGGCAGCTCGCGCGGCGCTTTAGCGGCGAAGTGTTGTGTTCGGGGTTGTGTTGTCGAGATATTTGTTTTTATTCGCAAACGAAATGTCTGAACAACGGCGACAATTTTATTTCGATTCAAATTTATTCCTAACGCTCGATTTATTGTGGGCAAAAGAAGGAGTGCGCTGCCCGCTCGTTGCCCGCTCCCGCGCCGCTGCCCGCTCGTTGCCCGCTCCCGCGCCGCTGTTTTCGCCGGTTTATTTGATTTTACGCATAAGATCCTGCCGCTCCCGCCCAGCTGCCCGCTAAACTCGAGGCTGAGGCCTTAGGGTCGACACTGTGGAGCAGGCCTTTCCCAAGGACATCCACAACGACCGGTCGTTTCAACCTCCTTTATAGACCTTGTGCAGACTCAGCGATAACTTCTGTGTGGTTTAAGTTACTGGGCGATTCTCCTGGCGAGGTGCTGACGAGCTAACCGCATTATCGCTGTGTCTGAACAAGGCCTTGGTGCCTCTTAAAATCACGCTGCTGATTTCGTCATCCCCCTAATAGGAAAAACATGAAATAATGAAAAGTGCGCAGCCTGCGTGCGGGCCCTCTCGAAATCAGTAGGTATTACAGGAAAAAGGCACCGCACGATTTGATCCAGATATGTTAGAGAACTGCCCAGAAATCGTGCGATTACCGCTGTGTCTGAACAACAAAGTCCTTAGGCTATGTGAAACCTTATTCTTGCAGGAGGCGACGGCAGCGCCCCCAGTAGACGCGGCGGAGGAGGAAGCCCGGGCCGAACGCAAGCGGCGCCAGAGGCAGGCACAGGAGGAGTTCCGACAGCGGCAGATGGCCAAGCAGAAGACCGGTTAGCAGCACTCTTATCACGCTTATAATGAACAATCGCCATATCTGACTAATGCAAAAAGAACCTTATGATTGAGATGTGTCTGAATCTTCATTTTGTAGTATACCTATTTATAGATCGTTTCATCCACGAAGAAGCGCCCCACCAGTCTTCCGCTAATGTTTGAGTGTTATCGTACACGCTAAATCATTTATGAGTGCACATAGTCACGCACACTACAATAATGACGCTCGGATTGCTCGGATCAAACTCCCCGCACCCCGCGCTTCCCTCGACTAATAAATTGGTGGGGCGCATCTTCGTAGATGAAACGATCTATACTGGTTACCTTATAAAACGGATCATTGTAGAACGGTAAAAGTAAGGTTTGCATTTTCGTGGTCTTTTACCCATTATTTTACAAATCTTGTTAGTTTTTTGCACTTTTTAAGAGATGCACGGAAAAATCAAATACCTACTTATAAAAGGTACAGACCGGCACATTTGCGGGCATACCGAGTAGGTAAGTAAGGTTTGTGATATTTATGTTAAGTAACGTTGGGACCAACATTAAAACTTTGTCTAAAAGTTTAGATTTTAGGCGTTTTTGTATCAGTTTACGAGACCACATAAATACCAAAATAAATGAACTAAATGGAAGGTGGTGGCGAAAATATTGACTTTTTAGTCTAATGAAATGTTTTCGCATAATATGAATGACTCATGTAATTCTTCTGTAATTGTTTAATGTTTTATTTTATCATGCAATTCAATTAAATGTGTTTGGATTTTAATGTTAGTTTTTTTACTTTATAATATCCGCACCATGATATTTCCTAATTGTCCTAATACCTATCAAGACTGCTATTTTAGAATCAATAACTTTCACATACCTACCTACAGATATTTTAGTAAAAAATGAACAGAATCACGGAAGAAAATTTCCATACCCGATATCAAACTTTCTAGTTTAGTATTAGGTTATTCTGCTTCTATTACAGTAGAATCCCGATTATCCGGATCAATTAAAACCAGGGGTGGTCCGGATAATCGAAAATCCGGATAATCGATTTCAAAGTAAAATGAAACAATAATCAACTTTTAACAATAGAAAGGGTTTTCAATACATCATTTTAGAGTCTAAAAATCTAAATTTTAGACCATTGGTCATCCATTTCTTTTAACAATGAACCAAAAAGACGTCCGTATCATGTTACGGTGGCGGCGCCTTCGGTTTTTATGGGTCCAGATCCTGAATCGGTAATTAGAAACCATGAAGAATGAGTCCGGATAATCGGATATCCGGATAATCGAAGTCCGGATAATCGAGATTCTACTGTAATTGGAATCCTCTTGCGGCCGTCAGAGGAACTAACTAAGTAAAGCCTGGTCCGTGAGCACGTAGAATTTTGTCCAATGACCCCAAGCTACCCATCCTTATCGCTCGCGCGTAATTATATTGCTGTCGCGACTGTGCGACGGGCGCCCGCAGTGAGTGTGCGAGCGCAACATAATGAGGGCTATCGTTTTAGCGCTCACCAGTTAGCGCCACTGTAGAGTAAGGTCCTGTCACTTGCTAGTAGCGCAGACAGTGGCACCAACTGGTGAGTGCTAAAGTGGTAGGACTATCGCATTTGCACTCATCAAGATGGCGCCACTGTAGAGTAGGGTCCTGTCAATCGCCAGGGGTGCCAACTGTTAAGTATAAAAACGATAGCCCTCATTAAGCGCGAGCGATAAGGATGGGTAGCTTGGGGTCATTGGACAAAATTCTACGTGCTCACGGACCAGGCTTTAGTTTCGCGTCACTAACAGAGTATCTCACCGTCAAGCCAATTTATTATCTTCAGATGAGAAGCAGGACCTCCACAAGAACTGCAGCAGTTTCGACCAGCTTCTCATGGAGCTTCCGAGCCAGGACATCGTGATACAGGAGACTGGGGACTCTGTGGACGACGCTGCGAAGAGGAAGTCTGCCCTCGAAGGCAGCGCCACCAAACGGCGGGCGAGCGTCATCAACAGGCTGGATATCGTTGAGGCAGATTAAAGTTATAAATCGTTTCATCCACGAAGACGCGCCCCACCAATTTTTGGTTTGATCCGAGCGTCATTATTGGAGTGTGCACTCGTGGATGATTTAGCGTGTACCGAAACATTAGCGGAAGAATGGTGGGGCGTGTCTCGTGGATGAAACCATCTATTTGATATACGATATAGTCTGGTCCGGGAGCACGTAGAATTTTGTCCAATGACCCGCTCGCACACTCACTGCGGGCGACCGTCCCACAGTCGCGACAGCAATATAATTACGCGCGAGCGATAAGGATGGGTAGCTAGGGGTCATTGGACAAAATTCTACGTGCTCCCGGACCAGACTATAGTAGTCTGCATTAATTGATAATTTGCATGAACTAGAAGTACCTTACCTACATTGTGTAGGTATAATTTACTTTATTTTTTTACTTCAATAATTTTAAGACGAATCTAAAAGAAATTCGAATGTGAATGTGAGCCACAAATTAAACTTTGCAAAGTTAGAGGTCCACTCATTTCTTTTTTTTTTAAATGAGATGTGATCATATGAAAAACGCTTTATTCGTCGTTAAGTTAGCTATAAGTTATAGTTAATAAGTTACTAGGTAAATAAAATTGTAAGCAACATTATTTTCTCTATTTCATTCTTGCAACCTGGTTTGGTACCTACATAACGGTGTTACTTTCGTCATAAGTGATTAATAAAAAGAAACATGAAGCTATTTGAAGAAATTGAAAGTCGACGGTTTTATGACTACTATGGTAAGGGTTAAAAATAAATAAAAACTCGCAATCTAGTGAAATCAATTTTATTAATCACTAACAAGTTACGTTCTTACACAAGACTATGTACACAAGACAAAGGACCGCTAGATACTAAGATACACAATGTACTCAGGTAAAAGAAGGCAACCCCGCTCCCTCAGGTATAAACCAAACATACTAAGGCTAGGGCCACACTAGGACGAGTAATATAAAAAATTCAACGTAGACTCGTGGCGGATAGTACACTAATTAAACGTATGCGAAATAACACAAAACATTCCCCGAGTCGTGTGGAATACCTACCGTTGAACGTTAGTTTCTCGTCTGTACATGCCTTTACGACGTCGTGTTGTTAGCTTAGGGTGCTCACATAAGGAAATGTGTTTCCTGAATCGGTACCGATATTTTATACGATTACACCACCGAAATTGGACCGACCACATCAGTGCCTACCAGAAACCCTATTTCGATATACAAGCGCCCACTTTTAAAAGGAGAGACATGCACAAAAGACATTATTGACGTCACTGGCTTCTTTTGGGTTTACCCCACAATTTTATTAAAATTCTACCGGCCCAAAACTATTATTGAAAAAAATTATAACTCAAACTGTACTGCCGATAAGAAAAAGGTTTTCAAGTTAAAATTATAATAACAAAAATGTCTATCGAGCATGCCACTGCCCACACAACTGGTATTAACTAGTAGTTGTTGACACCAGTGATCAATAATTTCAAGCTAAAAGTTATAAAAAAAGAACACAAAATTTTAAAAAGCATCTCAATTGATATATGGTGTCAACTAACTAATTTACATGAACTCTTGTAGAAAAACATAAAAATCTTTGAACAAAAAATAACTTAGTGTAAGTACCTAAATAAAATATTTAAAAGAACCTGAACAAAACCGGGGTGTTTTCAGAAATTTTGCCTTATTTTATATTCAGTTTTGTTAATGCATTGGATGCAATGGGGGCAAAGATGTTTCTCAAAAAGTTGCACGGCATGTTGCCGAAATAGGCAATGATGCAAAAACACGTTATGGCGCAAGTACACTATGCGGAAAATTGGCCGAGACGTAATGAGAACACCATTAACATTAATATTTAGAATAGTTTTATTAAACTATATTTTAACACATTATAAATGTTAAGCCTAATTAACTAGTTTAAACATGTCCGTCCTATTAAGACCGATGTCATTATTTTAAGGTAATTGTTCGTATTGGCCGCTGCGATACAAGCTTTCCTGCTTAGTGCAGAGACCGCCAGAATAATTTGTACAATGTGACATCTTTTAGTAATAAATACTTTTTTACTTTTACTTACTTTACTTTCTCCTTCCTCGACCTTTGCGTCGCCCACACTTCGATGTGCGGGCACTTCCTTTTCGTCAATTTTCCGCAGTGTACTTGCGCCATTAGATCAAGCGTTGAGTATATCACGCTTGGGTCCCCAAACAATAGCCCCCTAGTGTACCCGAGGCTTGATAAAAAAGGTCACGCCTACTTGCCCAAATTCTTTATCAATCAAGATACGATTGATCGAGTACAGAAGTATATGAACAAAAACTAACCGTAGAAAACAAATTACATTACACGTTAAAAGAAATTATTATCCGCATTAAACAAGCTCCTAAAAGACAAATTCGATCTAGTGATCGATCAATTAAAAAGATACATCATATACATACAATAACTATAAGTAGTAAGGTCAATAATCATATAGGTTTTGTAGTTAATATTATGTTATAAATATGATTAAATACATAAACTTTGTGTATTTGATACAAGAATAAATAGATACTGTAATATTTAAATTGTATATATTTATGCAAATGTTCGATTAAAGCTTTTTATTAGCAAGATTTAGGTGTGTAGAAAATTTATAAAATTAGACCAAAACTGTCCACCAAACCCGATTTATTACGAACCTAAATGCTACGGTATATGCCTAATTGCCTAGGTATATAATTATGCTACAGTTCTATGTAAAATTATTATTTACAGGCGACTAATACGATAGATTTTGTGTTAAATACAAATATATATATATTTTTAACGAGACAGTTTGTTAACACAGCTATAGGTAAACCAGTCACTTATTTATGTTAAATATTAGTACTATGTAGCAGTAAACGTTTAACACTTGATACACAACCGCTACGTGCTATGAGAGATTATAGTCAAGGTGTGTGATTAATATAAATGAATATTGTTTTGTCTGAGAGTCACGACTCGTAACTGCTATGCACTAGACTACATTGTAACTACTAGATATTTAAGTATCTTCTCTTTTAAAACCCATTTCGTGGTGCACCACAAATGCTAAAATTTGTTTAAAGCAGATTTTTCATTGGCAGCTTATCTACAAATATGATAAAATTCAACCTATTTATTATTTTACCTTTGTTTGGTACCTTCCAAACTAACGAGTATGTATCTTCATATTGGCTGAAAATAGCGCTTGTTAGAAATTGTTAGCAAAATGGCGATCGCCGAAACTTTAGCATGTTTTCGGCGAGGACACGTTTGCTAAACTTCAAAAGTGACGTTTGCCCATATTTTTTTTTGTATACAAATTCCACCATTTTTCTGGCGCTATTTTCTGCCAAATATTATTTTCATCATTTATTTAAATCTGTTCGTAAACTAATTCCAAGTGACTCGCAAACAGAACAATAAATAACGCAGGGACGCCGATATATCCGTTACAATACAAACCTTAAAAGTAATAATATTGTTATGGAGTTAATTAAAAATAATTATATTACGATAACAACACGTGTTAGGTAATAACTTTAACACACTGAACTAAAAACAATATATTTCCGCGCTTATGTATATTCTTTATTTTGATACCTTCAAGTTTACAACTAGGATATTTAGGAAGGATATAATAATAAATACAAGATATTTGTAAATATAAGTATATTAGCTAGGTCCGATATTTGCGATTACGTGTCCCGATAGTCAGAACTTACTATATAATTTTCTAATTATTGCGATCTTTAAAGTCGATTGGCATGAAACACAATCTTTAGGACATAGGAACAGTTGCACGTCTTTAGGAAATATTACGCGTCGACCGTCTTTGTATCAAACATTGCCACCATATTTTGAATCTTATTCCCTCGTCTTAAGAGTTAAGTTTAGTCAAAAGGAGCATTTGCTTAATTAGCTTAGGATTTCTGCCTTGTTTTATTACTGATAACCTATCTTCATGGTTTTATACTTTAATCCTGATTCATGCAACTGTGAATGTTGGTAACTCAATTCATAAAATCCCAATCAATTATTTCTATAGTCGACCGATTCTATTTCTGTAGGACGTGAGTTAATGGACATTACCAGTACATGTAGAAAAAGTTGAGTATATCAGTCGACATTAAATGGAGAAATAGCTTAAAAATATTTGCAGTCGTGTGTCCTACTCCGTTTAAGGTGCAAAGCAAAAGACTAGAACTACGATGTCCTAAAAGAAATATGAACTAGGGAAGCTATGAACAATCAATAAATCTAATTTTAGTTTAATTAAAAAGCAACTCCGATTAAAATCAACATAATCGTTTTTAAATTAAAACTCTACTTTAAATGCTTTATACAAGTGTTTTTAGGTTTTAAAAAACTCAATTTATAAACGCTTGACACAGCTTTATTAAGCGAAGAATCTTAGGACAATATTTTAATTAACTAAATAAGTTTTATCGTTAAAACATCAAACCTAATCCAGAAAGCCTATTTCTTAATAATAACGAACATAAAACAGTGGGGATACTCCCACCACTTGTAAAACTTTGATAAAATAATAGTTTCCTTTAAACCTTCGATATAACTATGTGATATAGCATTACGATTACTTATATACTGGGGATCAATGTCGCTACAGCAACCATCATTACAGATGAATCATAAGAAGGTGTTACAGCTAGGGACTGAACTCCTGGACACGAGTGATGTGGGTCTACATTGGAGTTCAGTTCTATACTGCTATAGAACGCATACATACTTTCTGCTTGGCAGCAAATCGCCTCCAGATGTAGCCAATGCATGGGCCTGACGGTGTTTCTGTAAAGGAAAAACAAACGGTTCATCAGCGATTTCGAGTCATGATGACTATAGTAGGAAGTCTATTGTTTTGATTTTGGATGAGCTGGCACATTCGGTTTGGTTTGAAAACAATAGAATATCGTTGTCATGCTATACTGTTTCTGACTACACAGATATAAGTGTCAAAATAATGGTCAATATTGAAGAAATATTTTTGATTTGATAACACATCGGCTACGTCTGTCATAGACGTGCACGTGTACGTAATAGATATTAGAAGAACCTTTGTCGTTACGCTGTCACGCATGAAAGAGAAACGTGTTTGTAGTCCAGTTGTTGAGCAGTCCGCCATTCAACATTGAATCATAAGCCGGCCGGTCGGCAGGTAACCATGTCACGCTTGTGTTTAGAGGAAGACCGAGCTACGCAAAGTTGAACCTTGTCCACTTGTAATAGAATACAGGCATGTCACGTTTGAGTTTAGAGGAAGAGCAAGTCGTACAATGTTGAACCTTGTTCACTCGTGATAGATCATAGAGTGCAGGGCGCTGGCGCACGGCCACGGTCTCACAGCAGGTGCAGGCGACGTCGGACCCTGTGCGCTCGCGGTAGAGTGCAGGCGGCGGACACTGACCTGCGACTACTCTCGCTGGCGCACGGCCACGGTCTCACAGCAGGTGCAGGCGACGTCGGACCCTGTGCGCTCGCGGTAGAGTGCAGGCGGCGGACACTGACCTGCGACTACTCTCGCTGGCGCACGGCCACGGTCTCACAGCAGGTGCAGGCGACGTCGGACCCTGTGCGCTCGCGGTAGAGTGCAGGCGGCGGACACTGACCTGCGACTACTCTCGCTGGCGCACGGCCACGGTCTCACAGCAGGTGCAGGCGACGTCGGACCCTGTGCGCTCGCGGTAGAGTGCAGGCGGCGGACACTGACCTGCGACTACTCTCGCTGGCGCACGGCCACGGTCTCACAGCAGGTGCAGGCGACGTCGGACCCTGTGCGCTCGCGGTAGAGTGCAGGCGGCGGACACTGACCTGCGACTACTCTCGCTGGCGCACGGCCACGGTCTCACAGCAGGTGCAGGCGACGTCGGACCCTGTGCGCTCGCGGTAGAGTGCAGGCGGCGGACACTGACCTGCGACTACTCTCGCTGGCGCACGGCCACGGTCTCACAGCAGGTGCAGGCGACGTCGGACCCTGTGCGCTCGCGGTAGAGTGCAGGCGGCGGACACTGACCTGCGACTACTCTCGCTGGCGCACGGCCACGGTCTCACAGCAGGTGCAGGCGACGTCGGACCCTGTGCGCTCGCGGTAGAGTGCAGGCGGCGGACACTGACCTGCGACTACTCTCGCTGGCGCACGGCCACGGTCTCACAGCAGGTGCAGGCGACGTCGGACCCTGTGCGCTCGCGGTAGAGTGCAGGCGGCGGACACTGACTAGGGTTTGCTCCCGGGAAATGCCGGTACTCATTTTTCCCGGGAATTCCCGATAATCTAATCCTTTATCTAGTTCCGGTACTGACGATGCAATTCCCGGGACTTTCGGTACTTTCGGGACTTCAATAATTTATTTTTGAATGACAATTTTTTGACTAGATGCCATCCTCTTTTTACGTACACACTATCAACAAATGAAAAAATATTAATAATGTTCCTAATTCATTACTATCCTTTTAAGACCGATTGTTTTATCTGATTGTACTTGGGTACTACTTTTTATTTCTTATAATAGCGTGTTTTTTTTATAAACCTAATTTAGTTAATTTATGTTTTGTCCCTAACTCTTGTCGCTGCCAGTATTTGACATTGATAGAAAGTGAGAAAACATATCGTCAGTGGAAAGGAAAAAGGACTAAAGCGCCATTTTGGCCAAAATGAGTTATATACATTGTTGGATAGGATTTTTTTTTCTGCGTCGATCTATCTAGGTTTCAACTCAATCCGATGACTTTTTTGGCGCTTTAGCACTCTGAAAATTTTAAGTATTTCTAAAATCACCGCCCTCGTCGCTGCTAAAACGACGTGTTTTCAGTGTTTTTGCAACAAGTGTCGCGTAAGGGTTTTTTTGCTGGCAAAATATTTTTGCTTTCACAACATTAAGTATTTTTTTGTTATTTAAGAACTCGAATGACTTGTTACTTTAGCAATTCGAGCTTTTTGAGTTTTATAGTTCGTTGGTATATTAGTAGTTATTCATGGTTGTAGTTCAAAATGATTTGGCGTGTAAGCAAAAGTAAGTGAACAAGATTCGATTAATTTTGGCGCTTTAGCAAAAAGTAGCCTTTTTTTAATAAGCTTTAAAGTATTTTAGCGAAAATGAGAGCATTAATCAAAGCAAAAACTATAGTAGTTAAGTATTATTAACAAAGACATCTCAAACACACTTGTGACTATAAGCACACACTACGCACTCGGGTCACTCACAAGTGCCTGCAAAGATGCAAGAATGTTGCAACTATCCAAATAAATAATTTGCTCCCTGGGCACACATTTATGCCGGTGGATTCAATGCACTCACACATTGAAAAAAAGTGTTCGTTCGTTTCAGCCCGAACGATATCCACTGCTGGATCCCCCAAGGCCAGGCCTCCCCCAAGGATTTTCACAAAGACCGGGCCCGCGCTCGCATCCAGGCACCTCCTGCAACCACCACCTCCAGATCGTCGGTCCACCTAGTGGGAGGCCTGCCCACACCACGTCTTCCGGCTCGTGGTTGCTACTCTTTTTCCAGAAATTTTCTACCCCTGCAGCCATCAGCTCTGCAAGCTATGTGCCCCGCCCACTGCCACTAGATTTTAGCGATTCTGCGGGCTATGTCAGTCACTTTGGTTCCCCTGCGGATCTCCTCATTTCTGATTCGATCACGCAGGGAAACTCCGAGCATAGCACGCTCCATCGCTCTTTGGGCGACCTTGAGCCTTCTTATGAGGCCTATATAAGCGACCACGTCTCAGATCCACAAGCCAAGAAAAAAGGGTAACAAACACTATTGTATGGGCGCCGCGCCGTCAAATTGACCTGCCTGCAGTATATGCTGCTCTATCAAGAAAATTTCCCAAACTAATGGCAAGATAAGTCTTTCCCTGGCTTCTTGAGGATGAAGTGAGCCGTCTTCCATTTTTTGGTGAAATACGCTATAGATAGGCATTTGTTTGCAATTTCCATTAATATCTCCCTTTCGCTACGAATAGCTCTGGTACATAAATATCGGCGGGAAATCATCCGGTCCCGGGGCTTTCTTTAGATTTTGCACGTTAAGCACGGCCTCCACTCCTGCCTCGGTAAAAAGGGGATCGTTTGCTGTTTGCTCTTCTAAAGTTTCGCTCTCTATCAGTTGTCGGAGACGCGTGTGGTGTGGTTTATCTATTGTCACGGAATAATCTGGATCAGCCGATTATTCTGGGCACTCTGCCCATTCTTGCCGTTAAAACCATTCAGGAGCATGTCCTCTTTTCTCTGGAGCTTTCCCGATGACTCCATAGATTCCATCCCACATGTTTTCTCTCTCGTGTGTCGAGCAGAACTCATTCCAACTCTTTGTTTGCGCCTCGCTGGTCTTCGGTGCGTATTCTTGTTGCCGCACTTTCACCTAGACAGAGAGAATAGGTTATGGCGTGGTAAAATTAAAATTCATAAAATTCATTTATTTTTGCAAATAGGCTTTAAAAAAGTGCTTTTACACGTCCCAATATTAACCCTACCACTGCTTCGGGACAATAAATGGGCCAGTGCTGAGAAGAAGCAGCGCAAGAAACTCAGTCACTATTGTCAGCCAAAAGNATGATGGAACAGCAAGTTTATTTTTATGTCTCGTGTTAAATGATTGGTATATTAGTAGTTATTCATAGTTGTGGTTCAAAATGATTTGGCGTGTAAGCAAAAGTAAGTGAACAAGATTCGATTAATTTTGGCGCTTTAGCAAAAAGTAGTCTTTTTTTAATAAGCTTTAAAGTATTTATAGCGAAAATGAGAGCATTAATCAAAGCAAAAACTATAGTAGTTAAGTATTATTAACAAAGACACCTCAAACACACTTGTGACTATAAGCACACACTACGCACTACTCTGTTTTAAGTAACTGTCCTCTCTATAGGTTGTCTGGAAGAGATCGCTTCATAGCGATAAGACCGCCTAATTGTACCTTATGTGTTCCTTTTCTTTCTGTTTCTTTTTACAATGTGGTGTGCACTAAAGAGTATTTATTATTATTATTATTATTATTATTACGCACTCGGTTCACTCACAAGTGCCTGCAAAGATGCAAGAATATTGCAACTATCCAAATAAATAATTTGCTCCCTGGGCACGCATTTATGCCGGTGGATTCAATGCACTCAGTCATTGAAAAAAGTGTTCGTTCGTTTCAGCCCGAATGATGTCCATTGCTGGACAGGCCTCCTCCAAAGATTTTCACAAAGACCAGGCCTGCGCCGCTCGCATCTAGGCACCTCCTGCAACCTTCGCCACCACCTCCAGATCGTCGGTCCACCTAGTGGGAGGCCTGCCCACACCACGTCTTCCGGATCGTGGTTGCCACTCTTTTTCTAGAAATTTTCTGCCCCAGCAGCCATCAGCTCTGCAAGCTATGTGCCCCGCCCACTGTCACTAGATTTTAGCGATTTTGCGGGCTATGTCAGTCACTATAGTTCCCCTGCGGATCTCCACATTTCTGATTCGATCACGCAGGGAAACTACTAAAAAACGACCATAGCACTTTGGGTGACCTTGAGCCTTCTTATTAGGCCTATTATAAGCGACCACGTCTCAGATCCACAAGCCAAGAAAAAAGGGTAACGAACACTATTGTATGGGCACCGCGCCGTCTAATTCACCTGCCTGCAGTATGTGCTCTATCAAGAAAAGTTTATTTATTTATTTATTTATTTAGTTTATTCAGAAACTCAACAGCTATATTACATTTTTAGAATATTTTTTTCTTACAATGGTGGCACTTAAGCTAAAAAAGAGTTCCATGACATGCAATAATGTTCGTACATTATAAATTATAATATCTATTGTTATTTGTTCATTTATACATTTATTACTTTTTATATACATTATACTTACGCAGGGTGAAACCGAAAGGCACCGCCAAGCTTTAGGAGCGACTAAGGATTAGTAACTTTAATTTTAATTTAATTTATAGATGTTATTTTAAAACTCGGCAACGCCCTGAAATCCCACCCCGCGCGTTGAAATATTTTTATTGTAATTATTATTTATATTTATTTAAACTAGGTATAGTTACTAAAGCAAAAAGAAGCCCTCATCGAGAAACTGAGGGTTAGTTGAAATTTCGTAAATACTCAATTGACCTAAATGTTCAATATGTGATTCTGCAATTGTTTCTTCAATGCACTTTTACTCACGTTAAGAATATCTACGTCTTTATATTTAACATTATAGGTTTTAGGCAAACGAGCCAACACTGCATGTTGGGCATAATTGGTACTGTGCTTAGGTATGCTGAATAACGGTGTGTGTCTAGTGCGGTATCTGGGAGTGCAGAAATTAATCCCCGAAAGAAGGTTAGGTACATCCAAATTACCTTGAATGATGTCATATAACAAGCACATATCCAGAATCTCACGCCTCGATTCCAGTGACAAGAGCCTAAAATGAAGACAGTCCTCTGAATAACCTTTAGTACGTCTAGATTGTCTGAAGTTCAGATGCTTAACAAAGAGTTTCTGGATTCTTTCTATGCTGCGGATATATTTATTATACTGAGGAGACCAGATAGGACTTCCGTACTCCAAAATACTGCGACAATATGCAAAATAAACAGTCTTAATGATTTGTATATCTCTAAATGGCTTGCAGATTCTCAAAATGAATCCCAAGTTACGATATGCTTTGTTAATAATGTAGTCTACGTGCAGAGAATATATAGGGTCTGCGTAAGTAAGCAAATATTCATGTAAGCTCCATGGATAATATCGCTTTTACGCATTTTTTCGCTGGCGCATGCGACTATCTTATTTTGTAGTTTAGTAATTTATCTTCGACTTACTTATTAAGCTGTATCTCACTAAGTATTTTTTCTCTTTTATCAAAAAGGTTGTTCAAACTATTTAGCACTTATTGGTTGCTGGATATTTGATTATAAATGGAGGTTAGCAGTTTTACCCTGACTAACATTTAATGAATTTTCATTACTCTTTGTCTAAAGCGACACCTATTTTACGATCTAAAAGAGCTACAAACCTGGTGTTTTCATTAAAATATAGGCAAAAAATCAAGAACACGATTGCATTTTAAAAGAACTGTTTAACATTAATATCAAAAGAGATACGAATTTTTTTCGTAAAAAAAAAACTTTGATCCTCATTTCCCACAAGTACGGTTTTGGCGCTTTAGTCCTTTTTCCTTTCCACTGACGATATTATTTTAACTAAAATAGGTTGATTAAACGATTGTTGCTTTTCATATAAATTAGGTAATTTGTTTTAATAACCATTCACGTGGGGACCGAAATTCCCGAATTTCCCGGTTTTCCCGGTACTGGCTTAGACCTGGTACCGGTAATTCAATAACACTCCTTAGTACCGGGACTTGCAACCCCTAACACTGACCTGCGACTACACCCGCACCTCGTCCTGTTCCTTCTCTCGCTGGCGCACGGCCACGGCGGTTTCCACAAGCAGGTATAAGCACTTGAACTTGTCGCGCTCACCCTCGCCTGTGCCGCTCGGAACCACCTACAAACATTAAGTAAATATTATAAATGGGTCTAAATGCTCGGGCGCGCATCAGTTGGTTAGCATTCTGTGGTACCTAAAGCCTGGTCCGTGAGCACGTAGAATCCCGTCCAATGACCCCAAGCTACCTATCCTTGTCGCTCGCGCGTAATTATGTTGCTGTCGCGACTGTGCGACGGGCGCCCGCAGTGAGTATGCGAGCGCGACAGCAACATAATTACGCGCGAGTGATAGGTATGGGTAGCTTGGGGTCATTAGACGGGATTCTACGTGCTCACGGACCAGGCTTTAGTTACGAACATCTTGTACAGGGTGGAATTTTGTAATGCCACCTGAAGGGAAAGTACTCTTAATACTGAAGATAGAAAATTTAACTCAAAGAAACCATTCCTTTATTTTTGAAAAGAAACAGAACTGCATTCAAAGATTTCCAAAAATGTACTTTCCCTCCAGGAGGCATTACAAAATTCCACCCTGTATAAGATTTTAGGAATAATAAGACGGTCCGGTAATCACACTGCTCAGCGCTCCGCCCGCTGCAAATCGTTTAGTCGAGCCAATCCATTTTGATATATTTTTACTGATGAGTAGCACCGCCCGCCACGCGTCCATGTTCACTCGTTCAGCGGTTAGGGCCTTGCCACACTGGCGGATTGCAAGCGTTTTCTGGGCGGAACAGCGGCGCGGCATTTTGCAAGCATTTTGGCGACCGCGCCGCTGCTCCGCTTGCAAACCGCCAGTGTAGAAAGGCCCTTTAAACAAGTCTGAACAGGACGCTTATAATGGGCCTCATAAGAAGGCTCAACGTCACCCAAAGATTATGCTCGGAGTTTCCCTGCGTGATCGAATCAGAGGTGGCACGGCCCCCCAGAATGGTCTGGTGGCTTCTCAGGAAGATGACAGTTGATAGTACTAACTCATGAGCTATGATACTAAATAGCCCCCCCTGACAAAAAACCCTAGATACGCTAATGGTAATTCACAATGGTGCCAGACGCCGCCCTCGCCCGCCTCGCCCTCCTCCGCCGTGCCACCGGCCCCGCGCCCTAGTCCTGCTGCGGCAGTGTGTGTGCCAGCTGACCTGTATGCGGCGGCGCAGCGGGTGCGGCAGCTGCGGCAGGTGCGCCAGCTGCGGGTGCCAGCCGCCACCCTCGCCCTCCTCCGCCGTGCCACCGGCCCCGCGCCCTAGTCCTGCTGCGGCAGTGTGTGTGCCAGCTGACCTGTATGCGGCGGCGCAGCGGGTGCGGCAGCTGCGGCAGGTGCGCCAGCTGCGGGTGCCAGCCGCCACCCTCGCCCGCTTCGCCCTCCTCTGATGTGCGCACCGTCACCGCGCCCGCGGTCCTGCTGCGGGCAGTAAGTGTTTTCAGCAGATATCGATTGGGAATAGTGTTGCCGAATAATTGATTATGATTAATCGATTGTGACCAAGAAGAACCGATTTTTAGATATAGTGTCATCATACACGAAGACGCGTCCCACCATTCGTTCTAATCGTTAATGTATGCATGCTTCCGCTATGTTTGAGTGTTATCGGTACATGCTAATATCCATGAGTACGCACACTAAAAGAACCTCCCGACTGACGCTCGAATCAAACGCCCCGCCCCCCGCGCTTCACTATCTATAATTATATCATAGTATCGATGCTGTCGATCATTTCATTACAACCCGATTGAGTTAACTGAGCACTTCGCTGGAATACTACTTTCCCCCCCACTTATCCACACACCTTCCCGTGTTCGTCCCGTCTGTACCAGAGAGTCGATGTGACGACATGGCCGCCAGGTACACAGTTAACTTGACCCGAGTTGTAGGTAACCAATATTAAAAAAAAAAAACAATTATGCGGCAACACTACTCAATATACAGACTGTGACGCATTATTATTGTATTTTTATTGGTATAGCCTTTAACTGAGTCGGTACCTGAGGTATGGCAGCGTCACGGGAGGGGTGACACCGACATATTATTATGACATGACAGAGCATACTACAAGTCTGAAGAGATCTGAAGTCTCGCTGACGTTTAACAGTCACAAAAAACACCTTCCCGAGACGCTCCCATACCATACCATATAATGACGTTTAGTATGGAAATGTCCCTTTAAAATAGTGTTCAACTAAATTGTAAATAAACAACTTGAAAAAATCGAACTGCCTGAGGCGGGATTCGAACCCACGACCTTTCGCTTGCCGGGCGACTGCTCTTCTGCTCTTCCAACTGAGCTACTTAGCCCTCCTATAAAAGCGCGGCAGCAGCATCGTGTGCAGGAGCACTTAAACACTGGATGAACCCGTCGAAATTTTCAAGTGTAATACGCTGTTGCGTCCGCGTTTTATTTCATCAATGTTGGATAGTACTACCCTTTAACATCCATGTTCAACTAGGGTGTAACTTTTTATTAATAAGGGGGCTACAGCCCAACTTACCCTCTCGCAGCGGGGTGTAACTCGCGGTCTTCAGGCCCGTAGCGGATGACGGACTGCCACACCGAGGGGTCGTACTTGACCTCCTCCTCCGACACGGCGCTGGACGAGTAGCCTTCCTCGCCGTCGGCCGCGTCGTCGCCGTCGCTGCGGTACACTAGTAACCCGTCGGTGTATTCGTGTTCAGCGCTGCGGTCGGCGTCGTTCTGCGGATAAACAGCCATTTATTTATCCATCAGTACTCCAGAAATGAGGAGATCCGTAGGAGAACCAGAGTGACTGACATAGCCCGCAGAATCGCTATAATCAAGTGGCAGTGGGCGGGGCACATAGCTCGAAGAGCTGATGGCCGCTGGGGCAGGAAAGTTCTTGAGTGGCGACCACGAGCTGGAAGACGTAGCGTGGGCAGGCCTCCCACTAGGTGGACCGACGATCTGGTGAAGGTCGCGGGAGGTACCTGGATGCGAGCGGCGCAGGACCGGTCTTTGTGGAAATCCTTGGGGGAGGCCTTTGTCCAGCAGTGGACGTCTTTCGGCTGAAACGAACGAACGAACTCCAAGCATGACGTTTGTTCCCAACGAGTCACACCCAAACGAGTAACACTGTCACAACCTTAGGTTTTGGTCACGCTGTAACCTGTATTTTCTTACAGTAAGCTTTAGATTACTAAGTATTTTGATTTTTAATGTATTTTGTACATTGTTTCTTTATGTCTTACTAGCTGACCCGGCGAACTTTGTTCCGCCTTAATGGCAATAAATAAGCAGACTTTTTTTTTAATTTCGAACGGGATAAAAAGTATCCTATGTCCTCCTGGCTCTAAACTACCGCCCTGACAATTTTCAGCTAAATCGGTTCAGCCGTTCTTGAGTTATAAGTGGTGTAACTAACAGTGTGAAGGAATGGGAATTTATTGCCATTTATTATGTGTGACTCGTTGTAAACAAGGGCTAGTTATCGTATAGTAGGGATGGCGAACCATGGCACGCGTGCCGTTGATGACACGTGCCCCAAAATTTAGGCCAGTACAGAGCATTAATGTAGTACAGATCAGCTACAGAACTCTTTCAATCTGTTTTCAATCAAATATCCACCATCGCGAGATGGTGTAGTGCAACGGATCATTTCCGTCAGGATGCATCGCGCGTTGGACATCTAAAGCCTGGTCCGTGAGCACGTAGAATTTTATCCAATGACCCCTAGCTACCCATCCTTATCGCTCTTCTTCTTCTTCTCAGTCGGTACACTCTTGTCAGAGTGGTCGTGGTCATCATTTTGAATCACTATTCAGAGTGATGTTCCTCGTAATACGGCGCCATTCCTCGCGGACTGCAGCTTTCCGGGTACTTTCGCTAACCGAGCACTTAGTTGCGGCCTTGATCTGGTCCGTCCATCTCATTGGTGATCTACCACGTGGTCTGGTGCCCTCAACTTTTCTCTGTACTACGAGACGCTCTATGGAGTCATTACTGCGCCGAGATACATGGCCGAAGAAGGTTAAAATGCGTGACCGAACCGTGGTTGATAGGCGCTGTCTGATGCCGAGTTCATTTAATATGGAGTCATTGGTACAAAACTCGGTCCACGATATTCCCAGCATCCGTCTCCAGCACCACATCTCCAATGCGTCAATCTTCTTCCTTTCGGTTTCACGAAGAGTCCATGTTTCCGACGCATAGAGGAAAATGGGGAATATTAGGCAATAAACGAGCCTGGTTTTCGTGGCCTTGGTGATGTTTCTGTTGCCCCAAATCTTCCTCATTTTGTCCATAGCAGACCTAGTGACTGCGTTGCGTCGCTTGATTTCGTCTATGCACCCGCCTTCATTGGATATCAATGCCCCAAGATAAATGTATGATTTAACAACCTCGCAATTCCCTATGTGTGTAATCCCTGGTAAGTTGTTATTGGCGCGGTCGTGAAACAACCTATCAAGGGCTGCTATAAAAGCTGGAGTCGACAAGTCAGTAACAACCTCCAAATGAACAGCCTTAACTGCCAAGCAGACCATAATGCAAACGTAAGTCTTATAAGTGCGAGCGTTACGTCTAGTGCTTTCTTTGACAGTGAAAGGTCCGGCGAAATCTATTCCAATATTTTGAAAACAACGAGCTGGTTGTACTCTCGGGCCTGGAAGGTCTCTCATTAAGGGCTGTGCTGTAATGGCTTGACCTTTAAGCATGTGACACATTTCGCAAGTCTGGATCTTATCATATTGCGAATATCAAGAATCCAGTATTTTCTTTGTACCAAGGACTGAAGGACACGCGGCCCACAGTGTAGGTATACCCGGTGGTAGTGATCAATAATTAGCTTCGACAAATGACAATGCTTCGGAAGCAGAAATGAGTGAATCGCTGTTAATGGAAGCTGCGCATTACGCAAACGCCCCCCCACACGCAGTAATCCAGCTTCATCAATGAATGGACTGAGCTTGAGCAGCGATTTGTTACATCTGGAACTGGAGTTGGTAGCAAAAGAGTCCAGGACTTCAGAAAAATGGCGTCTCTGTTCATTATGAATAAGAACAACCAGTGAGTTCTCAAGTTCGGTGGTAGTCAAATCCGTGTTATGTTCACGGTTGTCCCTTTTCTTTTTCAAGTTGCCGATGAACCGAAGGCACCATGCGAGAACACGCTGAGAACATAAAAAAGATGAAGATCTTTCCACGAGCTCGCTAATCGCATTAATATTAGTTTCCTTTGACGCAGTTAA